TTTCTTTAACGTTTTCGACTAAGTACCCCACTAAAAATAACAAGTCACCTTGTATCTGAAGGAGAGAACTCCGCAATGTTATGTAAAATGACACAAACGGAATGATCAGAACATAAATTGTTTGCACAAGTCGAAACGCGTGGTCAGCCGAGCAAAACTTCCTCGGCGGGCCATTAGCGCACGAGTGCAAATAATCTACATGTGTACGAAACTTATTGCCTATTGGACATTGTTTACTTGTATATCTACTCGGCGGTGGCTGGGCCGGCGACGTCTCCAAAGGCGGAATCCGCGCTTGCGCGGCCCTGGCACCGTTTGATGCACAAGGATAGAGTCATCAGAGTTTGCCTTTAAACACACTAGCGATTTTACAATCTATTGTCTGTTAATTAGCTGGCTGCGCTTCGGCTAATTACACAACACATCTTTGGCATTCGTCAATTGGAGCATCCGTCTACTGACTTACGCTCGTCTAATTGGTTACAGAGCACCGACTTCGTCATTTTGTATCTTGCGTTACCTTTTTATTGCGATTACTTCGCCCGATGAATGCTAAGCACCGCCATCATATGACAGGGAATGATTTCTATTAATTACTCTAAATACGAAATGTTGCCTTTAAGAATGTAGCCATACTTGCACTTATTACGGGACGCGCCCAATGCGGAAGGGTCGCTCTCGAGCTTACGTCGCGTAGCTTTAGCGTTACTCATGACTCAATGTTTTTATCGCACACGTGCGTGTGCAATGTGCGATGCAAGCGCAGCGTGCCATCTACATTAGCAATTAGTTGAAGAGTGAGTGTAATATAGTATATTTTATTATTGGAACATTGAACACATAATACAGCGGTCGTCTCTACATGCAGTGCAAACTTCGCCCGGCTCTGGTGGCCCGTGTCGTTTCACATCGATTGCCTCATTTTATCGCCTAGGCGAGTAGTGTGTTTTGCGAAGTCCGCCGGTAGAATCCGGCACTGTACATTATGCCTACTAGAAAAAAATATATGAAAATTGAAAACAATTTATTTCACAAGGAGATTGTGCGTGGACGTTAAATTTCAAATTGATTTTCAAAGCCTTCAGGCTTCTCGACTCAGTTGCAACGAAAATCGCTTACGGAGATTTGCCAAATGATTTCCGCTCTCGGCGACCTGACTGGCCTGAATAACGAGCGCGGACCAATAAGAAGCGCGAAAGTAGAATTAATGCAGCGGGTATGAGATCTTTTTGGAGCGACACTTCTTTTCTGTTGGATAAATTGCAGATCAATGCGAGACTATAATATTTTAAAATTTAAGAGGGAGCGGCCGTTTTCTTAAATTGTCTAATATCTATTAAAGTTAATCATTTCCAGTCGTATTTGCGTCCTTTGCTGATTGATTGTACGAAGTTATTGTGTTGGTAAATAGTAAAAATAAGACAGATCTGATGTGATTAAAAATTAAAGTGCCTTTAGTTTCGCTTTAATATTGCTAATGTGCAATAAAGTTTTTAATAGCAAATAATTTGTCGAGTTTTGTGTTTATTATGAAAGTAACATTATTTGTGATTTAATCCTTCTTTAATAGAATATTGATTTTTAAAAGAAATACTACTTTAATACTGATATTGAATGAATAGTTGTAAGAAAACAACCGGTTCAATTGTGGTAACTAATGTCATAACTTATTATAATTATTATTAAAATAGAAAAAGTCAATGCGAATTTTTTTGTTATTGTTTTTTCATTTGCTACTACCAATTGCAAAATAAATATCTTAATTTAAGCAACGCAAAGTGAAAACTTATAATATCTACAAAGTGACATATCACTGTATTTTTAACCGACTTCAAAAAAGGAGGAGTTTTTTTTGCATGTATGTTACGCGATAACTCCGCCTTTTGTGAACCGATATTGATGATTCTTTTTTGTCGAAAAGAGGGTACCTCAGAAATGGTCCCATTTAAATTTGAAGAAAATATTCCACCTCTAAGGGTGGTAAACTAGGGGATGAATGACTTTTGAGGTCGGTTTTTTTAACCGTTTAGGTTATTATACTTTAGTTGTACATTTTCTGGAATAACGTAATATCGTCACCTTAGAGTGAAAACCTCGTATACGCGTTTATACATAGTTCGTTTTTACTGATTTTTGTAGGAGAAAAACAAAAAATATAGTATCTGAAAGAGGTATAATTTAACTAATTAAAATGCAAAAACATTATTGCGTTTAATACATTTTACACCACATTTTTGTCTTCGTCCTGAAAAATTACACAGAAATCTCAGATGTATTCACTCGTAAGACGACCATACATATGTAGGTATTCATTATTTTTTATTTGTCCGAATTCTGACTAAAATAATACAACGCAAAGTTTATTTTCAATATTCCGATGAAGGTAATTAGTTAATTTATAAATAATCCAATGATCCGATGCTAATATCATACGAATTCAGATTTTATGATTTTTTATTGTTGTTATCGGTGTATAGTACGTTGCTCTGGCAAATGGGTGAATATGAATTTTGGACTGCTATAAATATCACCAGAGGTGGTACAATTGATATGAAAAGCCTTTCTTTTAAGAAATTTGCCACAATTAGGAGAAGAAATCACTGCATGATTTAATAAACCACAACCCCGAACAGAAACAGACGACATGGACAGGTATTTTCAGCAATACTTTTGACTTTTGATACTTTGAACTTATTTGAACTTTAGAGTATATCTGTCCTTGAAGCACCTCGGAACTCATCCAACTCTTTAATACGAATTTAGAACAACTCACAGGTGATGTAGGCAACAATACGCATAAAAGCTACAACTGCAACGTTTACTGACATTTGAACTATAACCCTACTCCGGTCCTTGCAACTCAACTCTCGACGATTCATGCCTAATAAATATTAATTATTAGACGTTTTCGTTAAAAATATGCAGGTACTTAGGCATGCCGAAGTGTACCGCCGCCGCCGCGGCATCGTGCTCGCGCCTAGCGTCCATTCTGACCAGCCGTAACGTTAAACGTATACCTGACTGCCGAAGCATCCCGAAGGCTGCCCAGGCGATACGGAAGTGCCGGCTCGGTATCCCTAAACTTACCGCAGCTGTTATTATCATTGAAATTTCCACTGTAACGGCAAAACATTAAGGTATATTGCCGTCCCATCAATGGGTGCCGGCCTTAAGGGACAAAGTCTGCGTATAAATGTGTAAACATTTACTGTTCTGGATTGTAATGGACATTTGTATTTCGGAATGTTGGGCCATTGGAAAGCAGGCGATCTGGCATGGCCTGGCATGTACCTATATGAATTATGCAACAGCCACTGGTCACTCAGCCGAGTATCTACTGTGCTTTTCGAGCTCACAAAACATTGAAGTAGATTTTACTCAACTCTACTAACGTAGATAATATTACACACGCATATTAATTATGTCCGCATACATACCTCTATGTACTAAATTTAATGTTATTGAAAACGTTCTTCGAAGTCGACCTTGTCTAAGTCAATATGTTTTTGATGATAACAGCTGAACAAATACTTGTTATATAACGCACGAGGACCGAGCGCGACACCAGTTGATTAATGTTGTACTTACTTCGCAATAAAACCGGAAAATGGAGAAGCTCCAGACATCAGCGAAAGAGCTCGTCACGTACGATACCTTGACCTTAACCTCCACGCCGTCATTCGGACTTAAAAACAAAACCTTCCATTATAGATAATTGCCAGGAATGATTTTACGAAAAGTGCGCGGTAACTCGTGTGACGGTGACTAACTCGAAACGCGCTGATTAAGTTCGCGACCAGCCTGCCGTATGTGCAAGACAGTAAGTATGTGCCGCAGCGGCAGCGCTCAGCCCCTTGCGAACAGCTGTGAGATGCCACCAATTGTCGCATAGTGAGACAGGCTTGCTTTCGGCAACTAAAGAACTAGAGCTAATATCAGGCCAATCCTAATCAAACATTAGCATTGCTTGTAACGCCTTCACATGTTCTGCTGTCGGCTGTTGACATGGCGAAAAAGAATTCGAATGTACGCTTCATTATACGGATTGTATGAGTATTACTTTTGAGTATTTACAATTTAATATGGAGGCCGCCGTTAGGTGTTTAATAATAATAATAAACAGCGATAAAAACCGTCGTTTCGAATTTGAACTCTGCATTATTGACGTTGGATCTTTTTGTGATTCACCTTTTTATACTATATTTTTTATAGTTTATCCTGCACAGTCACTTACAATGACGTGTAAAAATATACTTAAATACAACTTTTAGGTGTATAACTTGTGTTACTTTACACAATACGGTCACCGTATGTAAATAAGTAAATAAATTTACGTGCTTATAATAGCATATTTAATTAATATAGTTACCGACTAATTTAGTAGAGCCGACAAAGTTCATGTTTGAAACTACTGAATTGTTCTGATTATCGAATGAACGGTGACAAAGGGGCGGGAGAGGCGAGTACGGGCGAGGGCAAGTCAGCTGAGCGCGACGCGTTGGAGAGACGCGACGAAGCAACAGCGGCGTCGCCGTCGGGTGTCCCAGGTAGCAGCTGCGAACCTGCTCGTGCTCGACGCGAGCTGAGATCCTGTTGCGCGTTTTCGTGAGTGAGCGAGCCCGTTGGGACGCGCGCCCGGGAGAGAGGGAAAGAATGCGACGCCCGGAGCTCATACTCTAGTCTAGTGAAACTTTTACGGCAATTCAAATCCCAAATAGGATTTTATTTATAACACTTCCTTTATTTAAACTCTTCTTTTATTTTTTAATTTTTAAAATGTCAAATTTGTTTTTATATGCCAAAATTAAAGTGTTTATAATTTATCAAGTACATTTAAGAATCTACAAAAATGTAGAGTTAGTCGACCTATATAGTTCCTCATCTCTTTCGTGGAATTGTTCCGCTTCGGGTGAATATTATCTAAAATTTTTTTATATGTAGTACCGAATAACAATTGATGGGGGGTGAACATGTCTAGATGATAAAATGTGAATGCTCACCGCGAACGCGATGTTGATAAAGATGAACACCTTCTCGGCGACACAGAGTCCGCGGGTGCAGCCCATTATGCGAGGGGGCGGAGTGCGAAGCGTGCAGACGGTCAGCAGCACAGGTCACATGTGGCGAGCACTGATCGCTGCATCGGACAAGGCGACGACTGTGAACTCATGGGGCAGACACGCGCTTGCGGCCAGCTCGCGTAAGGCACTGACTGACTGTCAGCGACCCGCGCTCCGCCGCCGCCGCCGCTCCCCGCGCCGCCACCAAGCTCGAGCGAAAGCTCGCCCCTCCGCCCGTCAGATGTCACCCGTTTCGTCGCAACACCTCCGTCAAGCAACCCCATCCTCGTTCTACTCCTGGCGACATGGTTTACTCAACACTCGTGTCAACCCGTGTAGCACCAATTCGTTTCGAGTTGCTGCTGCTCTTTCCAATACGTAATTACAGAGCAAAATGTTTGTGCCAATCTTCAATTTGCAGCTACAACAATAATTTCCATTAATTATATACCACGTATCTAAACGAAATGTGTAGTCTACTCAATTTATTACCACCATAACAAATATATGTACATATAAGAAGGTAGAAATATTACTTATTCGAGTTCCTTCATAAAAGTTTGAAAAAACAATTCACACGATTTAGGTTCCGAACAAGTTTAATTTCCTGCAGGTGTACTTCTAGTGAATTACCGTACAGTACCTACATCTTACGATGTGACTTATCACGACTTAAAATTCCCAAAGTGATAGTGAAGTTTAATTTCACATAATGTGAGGCTAATACACAGACCCCACGAAGTGTGCATTGTTCTAGTAGCTGGTATATCTGAAGATCGAGTTCGTCCTAGTCGCTATTAGGCCACCACTTCTCTCATCCCCTTCGGCCCTTGTCCCGCTTGCGGACCCCACTTACGACAGTTGACCACACTGTACTTAGATACTCTACTGTACACATGGAAGATTAAAGCGTTGACCGAGAACAAACTTATCCAAAGCGGTATCATAGGTACGCCTGTTCACTACAGTGTGCTATTTGCATACAGCATAAAGCTAAGATAACGCAGGAACTCTGGCTCTCTGAACCACGTCATTATTCATCAACACGGTCGTCTGTACAAGAGAAAGCATACTTTGTGTTTGTAGTACTAATAACATAATTATGTACCTCTTATATAGTTTCATTATCTGGTAGGTTACAAAGCGTATTATTTATTTTTAATTTGTTTAATCGTTGCGCATTCGAAAGACTTTAAGTGACCTAATTATAATTAGTAGGTAAATATTAAGCATTCACATTATAAGGTTGCGTCAGCCATCATTTATGTGTAGGTAATAACATTAGTAATCGCAATCATTTCAGTTCAGCGAAATATTAAGTATATTACATACGAATGTACTTCGCAAATCCATAACTGTATGGATTTGCGACAATAGGTAAGTAGGTCCTAAACTAGTGAGTAATAATTGCAAGCGTAAGTACAATGGCTTCTGAAGTGTTGTATAAGTGCAGTCGCACCTCCCTTGTACTTCCCCAAACCTTGTAACAGTTGCTGCATAACATTGCTGAGGTGATACCGTGTGTTTAAAAAATAAAAAATGTTACTTAGGTACTAACCAAAGACAGTCCAATTAAGATGTCACTTATTAAATACATTGTCTATATCATTACTGTGCGGGTTATATACAAAATATATAGGTATGTATGTCACACGGCTATGAGACATGGAGGGAAAGTACTCTAAATATTGTTTATTTATTTATTTAGACATTTATATCAGGGCACATGACCCATATAATATATACCTTAACGACTAACATACGTACAATATAATATGACAATGAAATAAAGTAAATAACTAATCTACACGAATTGCACTTGTCGGCGTAGTGTGACGCAATCTGGTGTCAGGTAACCGGCTGCGGAATCGGCGATATATGACACCTCATAATTATCATCAACCCTTTTATACGTCGCATTACTGTCTAGGTCTCTTCTCAGGCGAGGGTTAAGGCCATAGTCCGCCTCTGGCCCAATGGCCCAATTCGGGTTGGAGACTTCACACGTTTTCCAATGGCTCCAATCCAATCAACCATTAAAATAATTGCTCCTTATAATAAAATTTAGGCGCTGTTTATAAAAATGAATCTTCATTCGCGAATAGCCACCCTTAGAGGTGGATGATTTTCTTCAAAATGAAATAGGACCACTATAAAGGTACCCTCTTTCCAACAAAAAAGAACCGCTCCCGCTTTATGGACCCAAGATAACGCGCACGCTCACACAGCTGCTAGAACCATCGACTATTCGACAACTTCGAGGGTACAAATGTTACCCCATCCTTTGTACAGCTCAGATTTAGTACCATGCTATTTTCTCCACATTAAAAAAATGTTTCATGGGCGAAAATTTAACACAGCAGACGAGGCCGTGGACGAGGAATTTCGACGGTATTTTTTCGACCTGTCGTAAGTAACGTTTTTTAAATATTTTCTAAACTGCTTCACCCGAATGCATGAGTGCATAGGGCATCGGCATCAGAGCCTAAGCTCTGCATGATTCTTATTCGAAAGTCACTGGTAAAAACAGCTAAACTGGAAAAGTCAAATCACGTTTACTTACGATTTTCAATCAAGATTTGACGATAAAATTGTAAAAACATCGCAGATGTTGCTAAAATATTTGAAAATAAATTTACAGCCATTCCATTTCTATTTCCAAGTCTTTATAATGGTCTCCCATGGCGACGAATCTGTATATCTACTAAAACACAATATCTGACTCGTCTTGCTAATTTAAAGTTCTGTCACGTACCTCCAAGATACATTCTTCCATTTAAAGGCTTACTTTAAATCGATAGCTGCTGATTTTGATGGTCTTTCCGTCAAAGTAATACATTTTATAGTAGATTGTATGCAAGCGCATACAATCGACTATAAAATGTATTACTCCTCCTCAACACGTGTTTTAACAAATGTTGAAGATGGTGTTTCACGACCTTCATAACAAAATTAAGTTATCTTCTTTTTAAATTTGGTAGTAATCAGAACCCTCTAATTTCAGCAGGCTTCGCGAATTTTTTTCTCAGAAAATTGACTGTTCGAAGAAGAGATAACTTTTGTCTTCGGGCTCATGCGAGGCCTGCAGACTTATTTCAATACTTCCGACCTTCAGTAAAAAAAATATTCAATCAGCTGTGTGCATATTTTTACAGTTATAACAATTTAACATCTCCTAAACCATTTGGTTGCGCTCGGGCTCGCTCAATAACCGATGCTTACAAAAATCCGTGGTAGAAACCAATTTAGTTCTTGCAGGTTGTCTCGATCTTATATTTGATCAATAATATGTTAGACAGATCTATAATAAATTATAAATGTGTTTAAATAACGTGACGATTGCAAGTGTAATTTGCTTACATAATAACATGATTGAATGTGTATTTAACTTTCAGTTTGAGGTCAATGGAAAAGTAAAACAAAGTCTCAAACGTTCATAAGTTTGGAGACGAACCAGTCAATGTTTCCTGTTGTTTTAAATAACATCGGCAGCGAGAGGTTATTCGGGCAAACGTACCGATAGACATTCCTATTGATTGCGGTCAATCGACATCAGCTCGGTCTCCGACAATTGGCCGGGCGCAGGCGCACACCGAAAGACGACGACCTCGTTACTTCAATTACTGCTCGTAGAACCAATAAGCAGCAATTACTCGCCAAATATGAGTACCTCTGTCAATCGAAAGTGATCTCACAAATGTCCTTCGAAGTAAACAGGTGGCAGTACATAGGTACTTTACCTATGATGTGATGTATTATAGGGCCTTCTACATGATTAAAACTACCGAGCACAAGTAAAGCGTCGAATGCATAAAACACGAAACGAATTAGGTACATACAACCTATAAACAACCCAATCTATGATTTTATCGTCGTCGCTGCATACAAGGACCGGTGCCATCGTTTAAATTGCCCGCACATGTGCGGTTGCATCACGGCGCGAATCGCCGCCGCCCGCGCAGGCGGTAGAGGTGAGATGCAAATGCGATTCTGATGAGTTTCCTACTTCACACATTGTTTTGTCACCGCGTTATTTCTTTATTTTGTAATATTTTGATGCAACAACATTTTTTTTACTCACGCGAAGGCGCTCTTCCCTGTACTGTTTTCCGTAGAGACCACGGGCTCGACGGCAAGACCAGGGAACGGCGGGCGTCCGGGCCAAGCTCTCTGCCAGCGATACGTCTTCACGGGCGTCTCTGGCGGACCCGGACTTGGGTATACGGCGAGTCCATACTCGGATTTGTGGTTAGCTGCAGGGACGAACACGTTCGTCTGCCCCGGTAGATGGTGGCCGGGGCGTTCGTCCCGCGCGCAGCTAGCGCGTCTTAGTAGCGGTCTAGTTGAGGGCCTGAGGCGAGGAGACGCGCGGGACACGTGAGTTGCCCTTTAAGTCGGTGGCTATGTCCGGACATTGTCGCAGGATGCCACTTGGCATCTCCAGTACTAGCCCGGAGAGCTAGTAGAGGGTGAGCTAGATATCTTCTGGTCCCTCCGGCCGCATAGGCATTTGGGAAATGGAGAGACGCCGTTCATTCGGTGTCGGGAAGTGAGCGTGCCTTACAGCTCCGCCACCAATGAGGAAATTTGGTAGTCGGCTTAGAGTCGGCGGCTTAGCGGTGGCAACCGTTAGTCGTGCGGAGCGTGACGGGAAGTGAGCGTACCTACAGCTCCGGTACCTATCTGGAAAATAGGGAGGGTGCTGTCGTGCGCCCGGGGCGGCTCACATAAGGCACTAGTTTTACAGAGAACCGGATGAAGTGCGTGAAAACGTGCTAATACGGGGTTAAGACCTGACTTAGATG